TGTAAGATAACATTGAGTAAATTAGTAATTATAAAATAATGCAGCTGATAATTATATGGTTAAACAATGATCATAGGTCACTGTCTTAGTTAGGCTTTCTGTTGCTGTGGAGAGACATCATGACCATGACAACTCAGAAAGCAAAACATTTAATTGGTGCTGGCTTACAGTTCAGAGGTTCAGTCCATTGTCATCATGGCAGGAAGCATGGCGGCACACAGGCAGACATGGTGCTAGAGAAGGAGCCAAGAGTTCTATATCTGGATCAGCAGGCAACAGGAAGAGAGAAGGACACTGGGAGCATCTGAAATCTCAAAGCCTGCTCCCAGTGACATACTTCCTCCAACAAGACCACACCTCTAAATAGTGCCACTCCCTATGAGCCTATGGGGGACATTTTCTTTCTCTCTCTCTCTTTTTTTTAAAGATTTATTTATTTATGTATATGAGTACTCTATTTACATGTATGCTTACATGACAGAAGAGGGCATCAGACAGAAAAGGACATCAGATCCCACTAAGGTGGTTGTGATCCACCATGCCATTGCTGGGAATTGAACTCAGGACCTCTGGAAGAGCAGCCAGTGCTCTTAACTGCTGAGCCATCTCTTCAGCCCCAGGGCCATTTTCATTCAAATGACCACAGTCCCTTTACTTTATTACATTTTATTTATTTATCTTGTCTATGTTTATGATTATATATATGCTACAGCACACACAGGGGGGTCAGAGGATAATTTGCAGGAGTCAGTTCTCTCCTTCCACCTCATGGGTTCTGAGACTCAAACTTGGGTCATCTGGTTCGATCATAAGTGCCTTTACCAGATGAACCATCTCACCAGTTTGAGTCACTTTAATTTTGATCAAAGTAAGTGGTTTATATTACTAATGTAAGGTAATCCTCTGGCTTTTGTTTGCAGGACTTATTAAAGTCTAGTTAAATTTCATTTTCTGTATGTGCTTGTGTGTTGTGTATACAGTGTTTATGTGTGTGGTGTATGCTCATGTGTGGGTGGGTACCATAGATGTTCTGCTGTATCATTCTTCACTGTATTTCTTTGAGAGAGAGTCAGTCACCACTGACCCTGGAGCTATGTTAGTGACTAACAAATCCCAGTGACCCTACTGTCTCCTATCCTCACGACAATGGAATCACAGGCATGCATGGCCACACCCAGGGATTTCCATGTGTGCTGAGATTTGAACTCATGATCTCATGATTGTGGAGCAAGTGCTCTTATCCATGGATCCATCTCTACAGCCCATCTCTACCCATCTCTTACCCATGGATTCATCTCTATACCCCTCCTTAGCTTCTCTAGAGATGAGAGTAAATCTAAATCTCTGCTTTTGAGCTTTTGTGTATGAAGTTAATTTCATATTAGTAATAAGCCATTTTAATACCAATTACAAAACAGAACTCCTTGAAAAAGAATCTCAGGCCCAGCAAGATGACTTAGCAAGGCAAAGGAACTTGCCAAACAAGGATCTTTCTTGTTGATTTCATGTTCCCAGGACAATGCCTGCATGTCCAGTCAATATGAATTGAATAGATGAGGAAACAAGGGAATACACGCTCAAGAGAGATACAAAACAGAAGTCTATAGATGCTATTATTTCTTCCAAAATGTGATTGCAGTTTCCAAAAAAGATGTGAGAGGGGGTGGAAGCGATTGCTCAGTGGTTAACAGGACTTTCTGTCCTTGCAGTGGATCTGTCCCCAGAATGCACAGGAAGGCTCACAACCATCTGTAACTTCTTCCAGGGGACCAGGCATTCTCTGCTATCCTCGGAGGACACCAAGCACACAAGTGGTACCCGTCCCTCCCTCCACACACAGGTAGGCAAAACACTCTCTGCTGTGGATATCGCTTTGTATAAATAAAATGCGGATTGGCCAGTAGCCAGGCAGGAAGTATAGGTGGGACAAGCAGAGAAGGGAATTCTGGGAACAGGAAGGCTGAGTCAGGAGACACGGCCAGCCACCACCAGGGGGATGGGGGATATCCCATGTAGTGCATCAGGTAAGTAACCATGGACTTCGGATCCCCCTACTTCTATGAGTACCAACATGTAAGATACTGGTAAGCCACGAGCCATGTGGCAAGGTATAGATTTATGGAAATGGGTTAATTTAAGATGTAAGAACTAGATAGCTAGAAGCCTGAGCCATTAGGCCAAACAGTTTAAATAATATAAGAGTCTGTGTGTTTATTTTATAAGTGGGCTGCGGGACTGCTAGGGCTTGGTGGGAGCTGGAGAGAAACTCTCCAGCTACAACTCTTATACATTTTTTTAAAAGTGAAAATGAATAAAATGAAATACTAGGAAGTAATGGCTTTTTATAGCCACTAAAATTTAAAGTAAACTTTTAGAGATAAACTTTACATCATTTATTGCTTACTTTTTCTTCTGTCTCACTCCAAAATACCTCCCTAACTTCATTTTGTATTCTATTTTACATCTTTATTTCGGGGACAGAGTTAACCCAGAGCTGTCTATATGTGTCTCAGGCTGAGCCTGAATATACAGTCCCCTTGCTTTGGCCTTCTGAGAGCTAGGATTAGAGAAGCATGAGTCACTATGCTCACAATTCCGTTATGAACATACTATACCAAAAGCATCTTCAAAATCTTGAGCCTAGCTAGCTCACAAATATAGTCCCAGTGCTGAGGAGGCTATGGCAGGAGGATTACTGTGAGTTTGAGGCCATCCTGAGATGCAACTCAAAGCAAACAAACTAAAGTTGTGTAATAGATAAATATCTAACCCATCTACGCCCTTTCCTTTTCACTCTTACCCTTCTCTCGAGTCAAACTGTTCCTCTATATTGTTGGCTGCAAATACAGAAATGGCCTGTCAAATTAGAGGAAATGAGCTGAAGAAAGACAAAATTTGGTAACTCGACTTCTGCTGCCTATCTTTGCTACAGGAAATTAGGCAGGCTTTTCTAAATAGGTTTTTCAAGAGCATGGGAAGGGGTGAAAGGTTACCGGCGGGTGAGAAAAACTTGTAAGCACTAATATAAGCCAATGGTCAGTGTTAGTTTCACTGGCGACACGCTTCTGATTATAGAGGATGATAAGTAGCACTTGGCCTTTGGGGTGTCTTCCTCAAACCCACCGCCCCTATTTAATGGAAAAAAGGAGCTGAGAAACCCAGAATGGAGCACATAACAACATGCTTGACCAGGACCTTTCTCCTCCTCCTCCTCCTCCTCCTCCTTCTCCTCCTCCTTCTTTTTTGGTTCATTCAATATTGAGCAGCTAAGGATACAAAGGCATTAAAACATGGCCAGAGATGAGGCATAAGCACATGTGTAGAAAGTGGTAAAGTTCTCTGCATCACAGAGCAAGAGAAAAATGCTTTAGGAAAATAAGAGATTGCTTTCAACGTGCAAGTAGGGAATGCATGGCCAATCAGGAAAGGAGACTGAGATGCAAACAGAAGACTTCAGTCTGGATGGACCATATTTGTTTCTCCTTTTCCTCTTTCCTCGTCTTTGGGTTTAATTTACCAGTAGTGCCCAGGATGTTCAATGAGCTTCTCTTATGCTTGTTTGCATTTTTGCCTTCATGTCTTCTATAGAACTAGGTCCTTTTGGTGTTTTAGGAGTTTGTGCCTATTTTTTGAAAGACTCTTGACTTTTCTGATTTTGGTACAGAGGAAAAAGTTCCAGTGTACAAAAAGTTCCTTTCAAATTGGTCAAGGCCTTTGAGGACATGGAAAGAAGGAATTGTGACAGACCAGAGAAGAGTACAGAGGCATTGTAACACATGATGTGTGTGTGTGTGTGTGTGTGTGTGTGTGTGTGTGTGTGCGCGCGCATAAGAGAGGGGGACGGGGGATATCCCATGTAGTGCATCTGGTAAGTAACCATGGACTTTGGAACCTCCTACTTCTATCTCCTCAAGTGTTAGGATTACAGGCACGTACCACCATGTCCTGCTGCGGTATATACTTATGTGCAATAACTTAAAATGTGATATTTTAACAGAAAAAAAAAGTAGAGAGGAATGACTATCAATCCAAATCAAATCTACTGGCTATAAATAGATTAGCTGAATGAATGTATAATATTCTAGGACTGTACAAATCAGTAAGACTTTAATGCTCAATTTTAGCCTTAGTTAATAAGTAGTTTTTTTGCTACGTCAGTTCTTTTTAATTTTTTTTCCATTAGATGAGCATTCAGGAGAGAACAATTATGGTTTTGAGAATTACTGACTTGCTGCTATTTATATTCATTAGCTGCTAAACACCCAGGGACTATATGCCTCAGGGAACTGGGACCATGGGGACCAAGTAGAGTGATAAAGGGTTTAATAAATAAAACTTTCCACGTTTACTTCCCTTGTAGGAAGTTTATTAACATTTACAACCACCATCATGTTAGGAACCAGTGCTTATTAAAATCCACTTTGTGAAGAAATACTGCCGGCTCCATGCCAGTTTGAGACTGAAGGGACTTGTTGGCAGTCAGTGTGAATGGGCTCTGTTCTCGGCTGCTGGAATTATCTGGATTTGAATTTAGGAGTAATCACAACAAATTGCTACTTTGTGGGAAAAGCTAAGGCAGCCAGTGCTTTCCGAACATTTTGGCAAAATACATTGCTCCTCTCAAGATATTTTAGCAGTGGCATTAAGTGGTCAGGTCTTAATGATAAAGTCTGTTAACGTCTGTTAAAGCAGGAAAATTAAACTGTGTTACTTTTACATTCCAGACATAAAACAGCATACCCACAAACAGATACAAAGATCTGTTGCCATTGAATTCAAAGACGGAAGAAACTTGAGAAAGTCAATAACACCTCAGCTTTGTTTAACTTGTCTCTAGCAAATAGAGAAAACAATACAAATCCTACAAGGGTATTACTAAAATCATTTCATTAGATAATTTAAAAAATGCAGAGTATCTTAGCCAGTGTTCTCTTGCTGTGAAGAGACATATGACCACAACAACTCTTATAAAGAAAAGCATTTAATTGGGGCTTTCTTACTATTTCAGAGGTTGAATCAATTGTCCTCATGGTGGGGAGCGTGGTGGCAAACAGGCAGACATACTTGCTGAGATTTCTACATCTGGATCAGAAAGCAGCAGGAAGAGAGAAAGACACTAAGACTGGACCTGGGCTTTTGAAACTCCAAAGCCCACCCCCAGTGACACACTTCCTCCAACAAGGCCACACCTCCTAATCCCTTCAAAGAGGGCCACTCCCTAAAGCATTCAAATATATGAGCCTGTGGGGGTCACTCTTATTCAAACCACCAGCAAACAAAGCATCTGGGGCTGGAGAGATAACTCAGTGGTGAAGAGCATTTGTTATTCTTCCAGAGACCCCAATTTCCTGTCCTATACCCACATTAAGCTGCTCAGAACCATCTGTAACTTCAGCTCCATTGGAATCCCATGCCTTCTTCTGGCCTCTGGGGGCATCTGAACACCTGTGACAGACAGACAGAGAGAAGCACACACACACACACACACACACACACACACACACACACACACACACACTAATGAAAACAAAATAAATCTTTAAAACCCACCTGTCAGATATTCTTCCTAATTAATATTAGGTAGTAGATGCAGAATTATAAACAAATTGGTTTTTATAGCCTTTTCCACTTATTTTTACCGCCATACCCAAATAAAGATAGATAAGTTTGTTCAATCGTGGACAGAAACATCCATTCATAGTCTTTAAGCAAATAGAAACAAATGACTCAGTAGAAACCTCTGTTTTCATTATTTGCTTTGGTATATAAAATTGTGGGTTCCTAGAGATATCGGATTCTAAATATTTAACCAATGCAGAGCATTTAAATTAGTATTTCCATGCAAGTGTAGAAGTTCAAACTGGGCATTTTATTGCATAATCTTTTCTCCATTTGTGCTTCAGAATATAAACAGACCCTTTGCCCTTAGGTGTATCTGTGTGTATCTGTTTATGTCTATGTGGGCTTGAGAGGTTTTCAACTATTAGGCACTTAGCAGATTTTTGTCCCCCAACCAGATGTTCATCAACCATTTACATGAATTTGTACTTAACAAGATTAAACTAAGGTTATGAACAACATTTACAGATATACAACAGGTATCTTACTATAAAAAGAAATGCCTCACCAAATTTTTCCTAAAAAATTAGTTTCCAGCTCAGTGTGGTATTACATGCATGAAATCTGTGCCCTCAGAAGACTGAGACAGGAGGATTCCTTGAGTTTGGGAGTTTGCAGCCAGTCTGGGGAACATCAGTTTCTATTCCTAAAAAATGCAGCAGAAAGTATCATAAAAAGAGTATTCTCCTCAGGAGATAAAAGGAGTTCTTAGTCCCGATAAAAACTAGTGGACTCTACCAGGTTTATAAAAGTTAACAATGCTGTTGGCTTTATATAAAGAGCATTTCAGAAAAGTTAATTTTTTTTAACTGTTAAATGTGTGTTGTTTTCCTTTCAAGTGTTAAATTCATCACTCCAAACTGACCAAATCTCTTTGTCTATAGCTCATCTCTGGTGTAGGTGAAATTTGCACATTTTCCTGGCTGGAGAGCAACCTATTTGCTAGATACTTATTTCTAAATTAAGCATCTGTTATCTGAAGATGAGAAGTCTAGGCAGTGAGGGATGTCTACCCCAGTGCTCAAAGCAAGGTCATTTCTTGGGAAGGAAGGTCCTGCCTTTGCTTGCACAATGGTTACCAAGACAAACAAAGATGCACAGCAGCAGAAATTAAAGGTTGTGTCTAGCTAAGCTAACTGAATGTGGCTGGATGTTTAAAGAAACACCTAGCACCAGCATGCACACACAAAACAACAACAGCAAATAATCACACACACACACACACACACACACACACACACACACACACACACACACACACACACACACACACAGCTTCCAGCAAAGAATGATCAGCATGCACGTCAGCCTTTAAAAGTGAATTAGATTGTGTTATACTGTTTTCTATGCTTTGTTGTGTGTGTGTGTGTTTTAAGACTTACTTATTTTTATTTTATGTGTATGGTGTTTTGTCTTCATGTATGTATATGAGTTACATGTATACAGTGCCCTCTCAGAGGCCAGAATAAGGTGCCAAAGCCCCATGGAACTAAAGATATACATGGTTGTTAGCTGTCATGTGAGTACTTGGAATTGAACCTAAGTCTTCTGGAATAGCAGCCAGTGGTCTTAACTGCTGAGTCCTCTCCAGCCCCACATGTGGTTTTATTTCTGAAAAGACAACTTGCTGCTTTTTAGAAGTCAGTTTTCCCAAAATAGAATCCTCAGTATACATTTTCAGCATTTATGTCTACATGGTATTGATTTATTTCCTTGTATGTGCCATTTAATTCATTCATTTATTTATTTTTTTTTTACTAGGCATCAAACTCAGAGCCTTGAGCATGCCAGGCAAATATTCTACTACTGAGTACATCTCTAGATAATTGTGATATTTTATTTAGTTATTTAGACAGGGTCTCCTATAGGCTGTCCTCCAATTCATATTGTGGTAAAGGAAGACCTCCAAATAGTACTAGGGTTATAAGCATCTGCCAGCCACCAGGCGAGGTTTCACTTGATGCTGCAGGTTTGAAACACAGGGCTTCATTCATACTAATCCAGCACCCTGTCACCTGAGCTGTATCCCTATCCCTAAATGCGCTACTTAAACAAATATGCCATAATTAAGTTTGAAAAAGTTACAAAAGACAGCTGACCTACATATCTCTTTGAACATGGAGAAATTGAGCTGACATCCAACTAGAGTTGCCAACTCTACTAAATACTGGTCATCATACTGGAAGGTGATAAACACCAACCCAGCTACAAACCCTCAATCTACAAGGGTCACCTGCCTACATGATACAATGGTACAGAGTGGCTCAAAAATTGTGGGAGTAACAAACCACAACCTGATTAGACTTAAGGCCCACTCTATGAGATGCAACCCTTGCCTGCCACTGCTCAGGTGGCCAAGAACCTGGGAGTAGATAGGATATAGATCTAGGGGGAAACCAAAAACTATTGTTCTGCTAAAGAAATATAGCAATGTAATGATTCCTAATGACATTCTACTATAGCTACACACCAGTGTCTTGCTCAGCAATGATCAGAGAAGTTTCCACCTGCATTAGATAGGAACCAGTACAGAGACTCACAACTAGACAACATGCAGAAAGTGAGAGACCTTGGAACACCTAGTCCTAAATGGGAGGTCTCCATCAAAGTTCTCCCCACAGGCTTAGCGAACTCTGCAGAAGAGGATGTGGAAAGATTTTAAGAGCTAGTGAAGATGGATGACACCAAGGAGGGGGGGGGGTTGATATGATCCTCCCAACCCCTAACTAAGAAGTTATTTCTATTGATAATTGCTCACAAAAGAAAAATTAGCTTTCTTCAATGGAATGTCACTGGGTACCAAGACCATACGTATTCAAGACCAGACCCCATGCCCAGCCAATACTCAATGGTATTTTGAAATTTTTTGGTACCATTATGCTTTGTCTGGGATTTTTTTTTACTTTATTGATGTTTTGCTTATATATCATGGTTTCCAATTTTGTGTTGGAATTGTAGGAGTTTTCTGGGTATGTGTGCATACGCTTTTTCTTTCTAATTTTTTTATTCAATTCTGGTTTGATTTTTAATTGCCTGTTTATTTTCTAAAGAGAGAAAGAAGGTATGGAATTGAATGGGTAGGGAGGTGGGGAGGGCCTGGAAGGAGATAAGAAGGGGAAACAGTGATCAGAATATATTGTATGGAAAAAAAATCTATTTTAAGTTGAAAAGATCGATAATACAGGAATACCACACACTCCTACAGGGCAAGCAGTTATAGAAAGATCTAATCAAACTCTAAAAGATATGCTTAATAAACAGAAAGGGGTAATAAAGATCCCCAGAGATAGATTGCACAATGCTTTATTAACTTTAAATTTTCTAAATGCTAATGAGAAAGCAAGGATAGCTGTGGAGAGACATTGGATAAATAGAAAAAACTAGTGAATTAAATCAACCTGTATACTTTAAAGATGTGTTGACTTCAGAATGAAAACCAGGATGTGTTACCTGGAGAAGAGGTTTTACTTTCGTTTCCATGGAAGAAGAAAAGTGATGGATACCATCACAACTGATAAAGATTAGATTTTAACAAAGAGATGTCTTGATTAGAAAAGGTAATAGTTCATCTATCAGTGTGATCATTCAATCTTATATTGTATATTATAACTAACTTATAAGACTAACAAATGCTTTTCATTTGATTCGATATAACTTACCAAAAGGGAAACTCCCCAAAGTTAGGGTTGGGGCAGGGTTTTGTTTTTGTCTTTCAGGAGAATGTGAAGGCATCCAGCTACAGAATCAGAAGACCACTGGACAAATGAAACATCTGAAGAAAAAGGATGAATCATTCAGAGAAAATGTCCCAAGAAAAAGAGTAAATTGTTATATTGGTATGTCACATTTCCAACAGGATAAAATTTTATAAATCTTCCCAAATGTTTATTTCTGCTGTTTTCTACAGACACATAATACAAATGATCTTTTTGTAATCCCAGATCAACCCCAGCTGGCTTTGGAATTGGAGCATGGCTCTCTCCTTCTCTAAACCTAAGCATGCTTGTTAAACGAAAATGCAAAATCTCTGTCTCATGTCAGAAGAGCCACTTGATATAGAACAGAAGAAAAACCAAAATTAAGGGACTATTCTATTGTAACTAATCTCATAATTTTTTGTTTTATTTTTGACTCTTTAAAACTTTTCTTAAGGTATAAATATATCTCAAAATTTATAAAAGTAATATATATATATATATTCATTTTTAACCTTTTTGTCATGATATTAATGGTCATATAGAGTACTAACTAATTCTAGAAAAAGGCTTCATCTAGCTTTCTGTACATGATTTTGTGTTTGAGTCTCTATCAGGTAACTAGGAATTAAGTTTTTGCACTATGGATATACATAACAAGTCCTCTAATGGTCCTCTTCATATGATCTCGAAGTAACCTCTTTGAGATCTGCTGCATATGACATTTAAAATGTTTAAGTTCTCTGCAGTGAACCATGACCATGCCTAACAGTGACCTT